TATTTGTTCATGATTCGATAATTAGTTCTGGCTCTCTCACGCGCCGCCACCTGCTTTTGCTGTTTCCTGGAAGCTGACTAGGATTCCATGACGCAGGATGGCCTCGCTCTCATATATGACAGTGCTGGTCCTCTGCTGCTGGGCCACTCAGCTCTTCTGCAGGTGGCTTCTCATTCTCCATTAGTCTAGATAGGCTTCGTCATTGCATGGAACCTCAGGGCAGCAAGTAGAAGCTGCAAGGCCCCATGAGGTCTAATCTAGGGAGTCACAGACTATAAATTCCAATACAGTCTTTTTGTTGTTGTTAATCCTCACCCGAGGATATATTTTCCATTGATTTTTAGAGAGTGGGAAGGAGGGGGAGAGACAGAGAGAGAAACATCAATGTGAGAGAGACACAGAGATACATCGATTGGTTGCCTCCCACAAGTGCCCTGGCCGGAGCCTGGGATCAAGCCTACAACATGACCTTGACTGGAATCAAACCCAATACCCTTCAGTCCATAGGCTATGCTCTAACCACTGAGTCAAACAAGCTAGGGCATTCTTTTCTTTTTTTAATCATTTTTTTAATTTTTCAATTATAGTTGACATACAATATTATATTAGTTTCAGGTGTACAACCCAGTAATTAGACATTATGTAACTTATTAAGTGATCATCGTGATAAATCTCGCACCCATCTGACATAATACATAGTTATTAGAATATTATTGACTATATTCCCTATGCTGTACTTTACATCCCCATGACTATTTTGTATCTTCCAACTTATACTTCTAGATCCCTTCATCTTTTTCAACCATCACCCTAACCTCCCCTTCCATCTGGCAACCATCAAATAATTTGGTGGTTATGAATTCCTTCAGCTTTTTTTTTAAGGTTCATAGATAGAGGCTTGTTTTATTTATTTATTATTTTTTTCATTTTTTTCTTTATTGATTAAGCTATTACATATGTGTCCTTATTGGCCCATTTCCCCCCTCCCCCATTCATTCCCTCACCCCCCTGTTGTCTGTGTCCATTGGTTAGGCTTATATGCATGCATACAAGTCTTTTGGTTGATCTCTCCCTCTTACACCCACCCTCTCCTGCCTTCCCTCTGAGGTTTGACAGTCTGAATGATCTTTCTCTGCCTCTGGATCTCTTTTTGTTCATCAGTTCATGTTGTTCATTATATTCCACAAGTGAGTGAGATCATGTGATATTTTTCTTTCTCTGACTGACTTATTTCACTTAGCATAATGCTCTCCAGTTCCATCCATACTGTTGCAAATGGTAAGAATTCCTTCTTTTTACTGCAGCGTAGTATTCCATTGTGTAGATGTACTACAGTTTTCTAATTCACTCATCTGCTGATGGGCACTTAGGCTGTTTCCAAATCTTAGCTATGGTAAATTGCACTGCTATGAACATACAGGTGCATATATCCTTTCTGATTGGGAATCACCAGAAATGGGTGAACAGTGTGATCCAGGTTGATGGAGACTCAGCTGTGGTGCCTGCCTGCCAGCTCTGTGGGAATGGGCTCAGAAAAGGAACAATGGTCTCTGCCAGCACTTTTGTCTGGAGAAAGCTGCCCCTCCAGGTCTCACTCTGATGGCAGACACTTCATTCCCTTCCCGTATGTCCCTGGTGCCTTTCAAGTTGCTGTTCAAGTGCTGGAACTCGGAGGAAGTGAGTCTGATTATGTCTGTGCATGAGCCCTTTAAGAGGAACTGTCTGGGACTCCAGAGACCTCCGGCTCACTCAACCATATTCCCCACTGGTTTTTACAGCAATTAGTTATGGGGACTTCTCTTCCCAGCATGGCGATCCTGAGCTTGGGGCCTGGTGTAGGGTTGGGACTCCTGTCTCCTCAGGAGGAATTTCCGAAGCAGAGATGTACCTCCAAATTTAAAAAAAATATATATTTTATTGATTTTTTTACAGAGAGGAAGGGAGAGGGACAGAGAGTTAGAAACATCGATGAGAGAGAAACATACATCAGCTGCCTTCTGCACACCTCCCACTGGAGATGTGCCCGCAACCAAGGTACATGCCCTTGGCCGAAATCGAACCTGGGACCTTTCAGTCCACAGGCCGACGTTCTATCCACTGAGCCAAAGCGGCTAGGGCAGTGGTCAGCAAACTGAGGCTCACTAGCCACATGTGGCTCTTTGGCCCCTTGAGTGTGGCTCTTCCACAAAATACCACTGGGCTAGGGCTACCTCCAAATTTTTATCCACCACACATGGGTGTGGGACCAGCCCGTTCTGTCCCTCCTACCAGTCTCTACTTGGCTTCTTTATATCTTTAATTACAGGAGTTCTGTCCAGCTAGATTTCAGGCAGTTTTCAGTGATGGTTTTTCTGTAATTTAGTTGTACTTTTGGTGTTAACTACTTTTTCATTTAACACAATTTCAATGTGGAAGTGTGATTGACAGTCCAAATGGAATTTTTGAGACTTAGGTATTTGATGTATATTTCTCCAAAATAAACAAAATGACCTTGTAATGTCAAAGAAAGTAACTATTTTGTATTTCTAGTTGTTGCCAGCTATCAAATTTGAACTTTCTAGTGAAAATTAAAATTTTGAAAATCTTTTGTATGCCCCCATAAGGTTGACAACTTCCCAATACTAAAAAAAAATTTAAAAAAATCTGATGAGACTTGTGTTATTAAATGTAATTTTTTGGTATTGTGTAATTAAATCTGCAATAATATGAATATGTGCATATTTGCTCAATTGGACTAGCACTCAGATTGTTATTCACATTTCAGTTCTATGGCTCACTGGATGTCTACAATTTAGCCTCACATTCATTTCTCCATCAATAAAATGAATGTAGTAGAATTCCTTTTCAGAAAGTTTATGAATATTAAATGAAATAATATATAAAAATTAACACATTGTAGGACATCAATAAATGTTATCACTCTTTTAATTAATATAAATAATTGTGATAACATACCTGTTTCATGGGATATATTGGAGAATAGATAATAAATTAAATGGAAAGTATCTCAAAGATAAAGAATATTAGATTCTTCATTTTCCTTCTTCCCATTCTCCAGCATCTCACCTTCAATCTGAAAATAAAATATACATTCTATAACAGAGTGCTTGAGGGAAACAGAAACTATATCTGTTGTTTTAATAAAGAAAATGTAATATAAAGGACAGGTTAAACAGGTGTTAGAGAACTGGAATGGAGAAGGGGGACTTTGAAGTTATATAGAGAGAGTGGGCACCAGGAAACAGGCCCACCCTTAGTGCCTGGGGACCAAAGGAAGAATCGGGGTTACTAGGAACTTGGAAAAGGACCCTGTAGAGCTGAGGTCCACACTTAGTGGGGTGCTGTGCAGCCAGTGTTGGTAACTCAGGAGCTCAGTGGAGAGGCCTTAGGGAGCTCAAACTCAAGAACTCTCAGGAAGGGATGCAAACAGCCTATTGCTGGCAACTCTGAGAGGGCAGAATGAGCTGGTTCTGGAAGGACTTGGAAAATCTGTAGACAGACTAATTTCTGCTGCCAGGATAAAGGATGATTGTGGAAACAACACTGCCAGCAAAACATGTGAAGGAATAAGCTCCGCCCTCCCCACATCCTGCCTCCCCCAAACCAGCCTCTCAGTGGTGCCACCATTGCAGAACCTAACAGGAAGTCAGCTGGCAAAGAGAAATGCCTGCAGCAACCCAGCCCCGCAATCTCAGTGCAGAATATAGAAGCTGGGTTTGGGGCTATGAACCAATAGCTTAAACACTGACAAAATTCTTAGCTAACTTCTATTGAGAGGCAAATTAGAATGGACTTCTTTGTTCAAGGAATGTACCTGAAGTAAACTTATCAAGAGGTCTTGAGATGTGAGTATTATGGGACGGACCATGTGGACTCATTTTCATATCTAGTTTTTTGGGGAGACTCACTTGTGACATACAGCACAATTGTAATAACTATTTTTGTAGAAATAGAAATCCAGAAAGCCACTAGGAGAATAAAATAATGAAATTTGTTCTAGAGTGACTAATTTAAAATTGATCCCTATAACATGCCTCCTTAAGCTTGAGATGTTTCACACAATCAGGTTTCAGTATTTTCATTAGTGTGATTCACACAACCAACATTTTATCTATCTATCATCTATCTATCTATCTATCTATCTATCTATCTATCTATCTATCTATTTTAAAGGCTTACGTTGTAATGAAACCAACATAGCTATTAAAAGAGACTTGGGCTGGTGAAAAAATGTGATTTCATTGTATTTTATGTGATTTCAGTGTAATTTATTTCAATAATTTTGACTTTAAAGTGTGTGTGTGTGTGTGTGTGTGTGTGTGTGTGTGTGTGTGAGAGAGAGAGAGAGAGAGAGAGAGATCTAAATATCACTACACTTTTGCAACAGAGCATAATACCTGGTAAATTTATGAATGAGGTTTCCATTTGCTAAATTGTCAAGGCTACTATATTATATGTTTTTCATAATAAAGTTATTAAAGGCAATAAATAAATATGTTTCAATATCATACCATGGCTTTATTTTATGCATTAATCTTTTAGAATGACATCCACAACATCTTAAAAAGAGACAAGTTATAACATTCAAATTATTTTTCTTTCTCTGACATGCTTGCTGTAACTTGATTGCTCTTGTGCTTTTTTTCTTCATCTAAAGGCTTTAAATCATTGATTAACTGCAAGTATTCAGTTTGATGTGGAAGTTGTTTTATACCCTACTTATTGCTTTCTAATATCTATTTAAGAATACCCGTTGGTTTACAAAAGCAAATATAATGAAACTAATGATCTGAAAATGCTAGCAATAGTGCCATCAGGGATGGATGTCATACATTGGATGGGGTTGTGAATCTGCCGCCTGGAAATACATTTGGGATTTTTTCAGAATCAGATCAAAAGCAGCCAGATGGAAAATGACATAAGGACCTTGAGATAAGCACTATTGGAAGAAGCTAAGTTTTCTCCCATGTTCACAAGCACTTTTGTTCTATTTCATTTAGGGAATCCTTTGGAGATGCTTTCAAGATGTAGAACCCTTTTATGTGAAGTAACCCACATGAAGTTGCAGCGTCCACATTGAAGTCACTTCATATTATGGTAGGATGAAATGCTTCTTAATATGTTTGCCTGTGGAAAATGTGATGAGAAGTGTGTGTGTAAACAAAATTATGAAGGTTTGCAACCCAATACATAAGTTTGAGATTCAAAGAAAACTTTTTTCATGGTTTTGCAATGATTATTTTATGGATCCTTAAGAGGGTTGGGTATAATAGGGAACACAAGTGTGTTACTATTAATGTCCTATGATAGTATTTACATTATTTATATTAGTCAATAGGTCAACACACAGCTGGAGGAGGTAAGTACTGTCTTCGCAGGCAGTACCGATGTTTAAAACAGAGTTCAGAGAAATTAAAACCTTATCCAGGGTCTCAAAGCTAATAAGTGGAACAAGAGCGATTTAACTCTAAGCTCTACTATTTCTGCTGTCATGTGACGGGCGAGGAGCCAAAGAATTAACATAGGCCGAGGGCAAGACCCTCAAGTTTAAACTGGCATTTAGAAAAGGGTCATAATTGCCTTCCCTCACACAGAAAATCTAAGTGAAGAAATTGTCTTTATACTTTCACTGCTTTTGAAAAGAGTTCTGTAAGCCTTGACTAGTTACAGAGATAACAGTGTTTCAAAGAAATTGAAAGTTATAGAAATGCTAACAAGAAATTTGTGCTATAATTTCCCCATTCACCTTTGCTATGAAATGAAAATCTGTAGTAGGCTTCCTATATGCAATACCCTGCATATGTAAACTAATTACATATGGCTGATGATATACTTTAGTGAAAATAGTGCTAATCCTTCCTTCACAGCTAACTGGTATACAACTCAAGAAATATGACTTTCGTTTCCCTTTTCTGTTACTTGTACCATGAGGTTGCTGCAAGATTCCACTGAAATAAAATAGATGGAAAACACGTAAAATTCTTTCTGGCACCTAATAGGTGTTCAATAAATAGAAGCCATATCAAAGACCTTATGAAGTAACAGCTATTAAAATATAAGCCATTATTTTGCTGTAGGTCTATCCATGAAAATGCATAATTAAATAAATGCTTATGTAAAATATGATATCATGTAGAATACATTTGTTTGGGGGAATTGCTGATCGCTGATTGAAAACTTTAGATATTTCAATACATTTTAGGGGATTAGTTTACAGTTGGCAGAACATAGGCTCTTTTATCCTAGAGACTTGGCAATACCACTGGATATTGTGGATCTAGCTGTCATGCCTGAAAATTCTCTCTAACACATATTCCCTAGTGATTGCACACCAGAGACCCACTCTGTCCCCTTGAGTCAGATTCGCTTGGGTTATTCGACAGTGACATCTTGGGAGCCTGTGAAGCATTCTCTTGTGGCTTCCGTGCTACAGAGTCTTGCTTCTGTGTTGGCAATAATCAGCAATATTTCTGTGAGAGCAGGTTCCATGCCTACAGTTGAAGATTACATTTTAACTTTCTATGTTGTGTAAAGGGGGAAAAAAACTAACTTTCACTGTGAATTTCAGTCACCTTCAGTTCCAATGTGAGGTTCATTTCTTTCTTTTTTTTCAATGGTGGAGTAAATGCGTGTAAGATTAATGAATGCAATGAAGATATTAGGCTGGAATCGCCAACATAAATAGACAAAGGTTCCCCCCACAGCACTTTGGGAAGGGAATCTAGGCCATTCTTTATTTCAGCTATTTTGAATTAGTTTACATTCTCAAAACAACTGCAAACTTGTCCATGTCCCTCCTATACTGCATTACTTTTCAATTCAAGAGTTTTGTGCAGAAGATATTAACAACTCCAAATTTCCACTTTACATCCAGTTTTGGGTTGAGTTAAAAAGTTGTTGTTGTTTCTTTACAATAAAATTTTAGTCACTTAGGGCCTCATTTTTCTTTGCTGTTTCTCTGTAATAACCCTGTATTTGCTTCATGCCTTACTAACTCTAAGATAGTGAATTACTTCTTTTAATCTCAGTAATCTCATCATAAGATGAGGATTATAAACAGTTACATTGCAGACATTTAAGGATTACAGAAAATATGTGCAAATCACCTACTTCTTAGACTGTCACTAATGATCTTATATTGTAGCTCTATATCTAGATCTGCGAGTAGGTTTGATAATATGTGAATCCCCAAAGCTCCTTGGAATCTTCCAGAATAAGGACAAAATTGTTTCAAAAGTTTGGATGTCTTATGAAGGGGTGTTGTTATGGGAAGCCTCAACTTGGACATAAGTGCCTAAACCAGGAAAATACACATTTTATTTTCTAATTATCAGGCCAAGGTAACTAGGTTTGTTTATATGGTAATGTGCCTTTATGATGAGCTTTTTCATATTTGTATCTCTAGGCCAAATATTTCCGAAGCTTTAAAGTGTTTACAAACCTGGAAAGTTTATAAAATACATAGAGTACAAGATGTTTTTCTCAGGATCTTGCTCAGGACAGGTTGGGCTTGGGTCCTAAGTGTCCACATGTTATATGTAATTATTTACAACAGAAACAATTCTGGTATACACCACTAACTGGGGCTTAATATTATTTTCCTTGAAGCTTTAAGTTTTACACAATCTATTCCTGGAGATTTATTATTATAGATCAAATTGAACCACTTCAGTATCTGTTAAGATAAATAATTTTTAAAAAAGATATGCTTCAATAATTTGGCAATAGAGTGGCTTTGCAAAGATTTTTTTATCCCATGAACATATAAGAAGTTAATAGAACAAATAAGTAGAAATAAATAAATACCATCCTAATTAATAACAGGAGTTCTAGTTTGGTTAATGCTTATTGAAAACCTGATAACTGGTTTATTTCATGTGCATTCATTTAGCAAATATTCATTCTAGTTCTTTTTAGTAGTTTGTATCCCCATTCTACAGATTAAAGAAAATAGCTTTATAGAAGTCAGGGGTTCAACAAGTTATAAAGTTATGGAATGATAGGGCGAGGACTTAATCTTGACACCAAGTCGGTATGCAACTGGTACAGCTGCTACCTAATCCTAGGATAACTCAATTTTCCAGTCCTGAAAGGTTTTATTTTATGGCAGCTAATAGCATAAGCACATATGGGAACAATCGCCTGCATTTGTTTTGTTTAAGCTCTTAAACACTTAATTTACCATCACCTTTGAAGTTAGATGTTGAAAGGCATCAGTAGCTTCGGGCTATTTTATCTGCTTTGCAAGGCTATTCAGAAATTTTCTTAATAAATGTCTCAAGTATCTTCTGCAAATTCTTGTTGTTTTTCGCCAATGTGCTTGTTGATTTTCATTAGTTCTGCTGTATTTGAATATCCTCTCTCAGTTAAATAAACTATCAGAGTTTTCCCCCAGCTCAATACCTGGTAATATGATTATATATTTTGTATCTAGGTTTAACTATGTGTCCAAGTTCTACCCAATGAAGTCTGAGCTACAATAATTTGTGCCATTTCTAGGTCACATCCTTAAAGGTTCTATGCATATGCTTCTCCTCCTTCTTCCTCTAGTAACTTGGAAAATGATTGTGGGATGGGATGTCCTGGCGAGTCATCTTATATCTTACAGACAAGGACAGCTGTCTAAAGATAAAAGAACAACGTAGAAGCAGTCTGGCTTCTTGGCTTAATTTATAGAGCAAAACAGTCGCGATTGCTTCCTGCTGAATGTTACGTGAAAGATAAATCAGTTTGATTTGCTTAGCCATGGCAACTAAGCCATTTTACATGACAGAATATACACCCTAATGAATTAATGCATTCTTCCATAAATGCATTAGCCATGAATGCCCTGAATTCTGTGACCCTTTGAGAAGTCAATCTTAGCCTGGAAAGAAGCACAAGGCCCTTAAATAAAGGACACTATGACAGTTATCTGGCTGTTGTGTATCTAGGCTTTGAAGCATCTCACCTTGCTCATCTTACTTTTCATACTATTCTCCTGACCATCTTCCTTTGGCCCTGTTTTTCTTTTAGTCTGTCCTCTTCCAGAGTAGTACATAAATGTGTTTCTTTTTCACCTCTTCTTGCTACAGCGTTTATCTTTCATGCATTCACAGTGTGAAGAAGGCAAATCTTAGATAACAGGAATAATGAACCCTGAGATGAACCTCAGTGTACTGGTGCTGCTTAAAAACATTCCAAGTAAACTTAAAAAAAACACATCAGGTTATCCAAATAAAATTTTCCTACAGACTACATTAAGTAGACTTCTTAACTTCTGACACCTAGATAACAATGTCCAAATCCACACAACCTATGAGATTTTCTTCATTGTTTCTTCTCTTCACTCAATCCCTCACCTGGTCTGTCCTCATTTGCATCCAGGACAAAACTAAATTTTGTTTTCACATTGATTATGTACCTTTGAATCTTTAGTTTAGAGATTTTAAATATATAGTTAATCTGTAGCCAAAGAATGCCTTAATGCCTTATGGATGCAGTGTTCTCCTAGCTCCATAATCTACTCTTGAGTTATGCTTTAGCTGCAATTCCACTATAGAGCATGCTCCCTACCAAACTACTGGTTTGACTACTATATTGGCACTCTGGGACCCAACCTGACTTCGTTTGGCTCTTTATTTTGCCTCTTAATAATGCAGTATTTGCATCTTCTGACTAGCGGAGTGCATGGTTAAAATACGTGCCTTAAACTATCTCATGGTTGGTTGACAACTACAATGGCAATATTTTATTATTCTCTGTCACTCTCTTGATGCTTCTTCTATTTCTGAGCATATTTGTTGGCGCTTTCAACTTAATGGTCTACACACAGTATTGCATTTATTTTTATTTTTAAATATATTTTTATTGTTGATAGTATTATAGATATCTCTCATTTCCCACCTCCTTTACCCCCTCCTCTCAGCCCCACCCCCAGGTCTTTACTACCCTATTGCCTGTGTCCATGGGCTATGCATATAAGTTTATAAGTTCTTTGGTTTATGTCTTCTCATCCCCCCAACCCCTCATTGAGATATGTCAGTCTGTTCCATGCCTTCGTGCTTTGGGTCTTATTTTGTTGGTCAATTAATTTCGTTCATTAGATTCCACAAATA